CCAACCGTCGTTCACTATCGCTGATCTAATTCCGGCCACTTACTGACGCTCTCCCGAAATTACGATAGTAACACCGGATAGACATAATTTAACATCACGACATGTGAGTGCTGCCAAGAAAAAACCGCAAATCTTATAAGATTTACGGGTTTTCTCTTGGCGGCACTCATATTATGGAAGAGATGTTCTTGAATGGCACCCGTAATTCCAATTTCGAACTGTATTTCGGTTCTGTATTTCGATCCATGTAGTGCTGTAATCGCAATTGAAAGTTTATCTGGCACGTGATTAATCAGTGATTATCATCATTAAAAGGTGTATCTAAAATACGTATTTGGTATGTGATGTTACAACTTTCCACTCTGAAACGCAGACTTGTGACTCTCTTAGAAGAATTTAAGCGGGCGAGACAATTTTGGTCCGATCTTAATGATGAGGGCCTTACTTTAGCAAATACATTGGTCAATACAAAATTGCAAGAACGGTATATAGTAGTTTCTAGCAGTAAATTTATACAATTTATGAATGATAATGATTTTATTTCGAATATAGTCTTACAGATAATCCACCAGAGTGGGCACCAGAATCAACCGATGTTATACGCTTGAATGACGATCAAAGTATTCTTGATGACAAAGTTGTCGCTTTAAAAGAATCACTTCAACAAATCGTCGAAAAAATGGTACATTTTCGGGAGGTTTTTTTTTTTTTTTATAAATATTAATGTGATTATTAAGTTTATATTTCAATTTCATAAAACGATTTCAAATAGGCAAAACAACTTACAAAAATGAAAATGCAAATTCTTCAAATGGAATTTCTTCTTGAAGAAGCATGTGAAAGCATTGGCGATGAAATTGTTTACAATAATCCACTATATTTATCATGTTCATTGGAAACGTTTGGTATGTTTATTTAATTTCCAGATTTTCTCATGTAATAATAAATGTCAATATCATTACTGTTTATATAATACTATTTATTTTATTAAACTTTGCTAGTTGAATTTTCTGTTACTATTTTTAATATGTTCACTCAAGAAATGGATCTTAAACAAAAAATAATTTTATCTCTTGAATTGGAATTGGAAAAACAACAATTTATGGTAATTTTATCAACTTGGTTAAATCAACCATATATTGATTTTGATAAAATTATGGAATTTGAAAATATTTGTAAAATTGAAATAGAAAATAAAGAAAATTAATTACAGTATTATTTGTAAGGATATACTCTATTTTTATTATTTAATATTATAATATATGCAATCCCAAAAGCTTATTTTTAAATACTAATACAGTCGTCCTCCTCTACAGTCACCTCCTATATAATCACACCCTCTTATAAGCACCATTTTTTGAAAAATTATTGGCAATATATTTATTAAAAAAACTTTATATAATCACTATTAAAATTTATAATCATCTTTTTTATGTAAAACAAACAGCGTGATTATAAAGGAGAACAACTGTAATTGGATAAAATATTAATTTTATAAACTTTTTAACTAATAATATTAATATATATGTATTAAAAGTGATAAAATTACCTATGTTAAAATCTATTATACTTTATTATAAATCCTTTTTTTGTTCTACTAATATTTTCTCTCTTGTAGATTCATATTCTGCTTGGCTTGGGTATAGAAAATAGTACCAAGAATGTGATTCAGAATAGTAATTCAGAACATGAACTACTACCATTTTCTCTCTTATAGAAATAGCACCAAGAATATGATTCAGAATATAAACTAACATAAAAATGCAAGTATCAGTTCTAGTTGCTTTGGGTTTTTTTCTTTATTTTTTGTTCTACTAATATTTTCTCTCTTTTAGATTCATATTCCACTTGGCTTGAGTATAAAAAATAGCACTGAAAATATAATTCAGAATGGTGATTTGAAACATCTACTACTGTTTTCTCTCTTATAGAAATGGCATTGGGAAAGTGATTCAGAATGGTGATTTGAAATATGAACTAACATAAAAAGTAAAGTGTTAGTTCTAGTTGCTTTGGCTTTTTTTATGTTGTTTTTTCATTCTACTAATGTTTTCTCTCTTATAAGTTCATATTTCACTTGGCTTAGATACAGAAAAGACACTAGATATGTAATTCAGAATAGTGATTCAGAATGGTAATTTGAAACATAAACTGATATAAAAAGATAAGTATCAGTTTTAGTTGCTTTTTTTTTTTTTTGTTGTTATTTTACTAATGTTTTTTCTTTTGTAGATTCATATATCACTTGGCTTGGAAACAAAAAATGTTGTTAAAAATAGTAATTTAGAATGTAAACTAAATAAGTACTAGTTCTGGTTGCTTTGTTTTTTTTTTTTTGTTATTTTTTCATTCTACTATTGTTTTTCTCTTATCATATTTTGATAGGCTTGAATACAGAAAATAGTATTAGAAATAGTGATTCAGAACTATTGGATAATTGGTATTAAATATAAATTATGAACTAGTATTAGATGTGATTTTGTCTTTTTAAAGCACAAAAATAGTAGAGCATTTATATAATAAATATGTAATAAATATATAATAAATATATAATAAATATATAATAAATATAATAAAAAACTTTAATATGAATAAAAATTATATATATATTATTTTATATTATATTTTACAAATTGCAATATTTATATAATATATATACTATATAATTTTAAATTTTGTAAATTTTTTATATAAGATTTCGAAATTAAAAATTTTAAAATATTCTGTGTCGATTGTAATTTTTGCATAAGATTTCAGGATATAATAAATTATGAAACATTATTTTATATATTTTGTTGATGATAAACTAGTTAATAAGATATTGAGATCAAAACAAACTTTGTAAAGATACGAATACTAGAATTATGTAGTCTAATAATTAGCTTTAATTATTAATATTGATCTTAGCTATAGCAAAGGTATTTGAAGTCTAATCTAAAAATATGTAATAGGGAATGATTTGCATACATCAGTTTCGTGTAACTTTACATACATTAATTTTTTTTGGCCAATGAAATCGTAGCATTAGTTAAGCGCTTGAAATTCGACAATTATTTGTATATATCAATGGTTGCGTACATCAAAATATTTATCAAAAGCCTTTAAAAAATTATTTTAAGATTCTAAATATTAAATTATATTTATTT